GTTAAATAATCACATGATAAGTGCTGATGGCACAGATTATTGCCATACGGTTGTTGCTGATGATTTCATTCATCACTCCAATTCATTGTTCTTATCAGCACACATCAGCAATCCTTGTAGTTTTTAGTACGGGTGCATATTAGTACCTTTACGTGGTGATTTGATTACATGGGAATTCTTCCGTGTAATGAAGTATTTGGCTTTGGTTTTAGAACTTTTTTGGAATTGAGGATCATTTACATTGTTTTTATAGTCGAGATAAATGCACATATGATAGTTGTTGACACCGTGAGTCGTCGTTGCATTTCAGACCTTAGCAGCAGAAATTAGCAATTCACTGACTTTATTAATATGAAAAGAGGGACCAGCCAGGGGATGCGACATCACGGTAACTGTTCAGCGCCTACCTGCAGAAGATATTTGAGTGGTTGAACTGGCAAAATAAGAGCATCAAAATTTATGGAAAAATATCAAGCAATCTCAGAGTTGCTGATTACATTGTCATAATTATACAAAACTGAAACCAACTGAAGATAATGCTGAAAGATCTCACTTGGGAAAGTACCAAAATTGCACTGAAGTTCAACGTCACTAAAACGAAGATCATAACAAACCGTATGATCAAATCATCGATCACTATTGACTTAAATCTTGTCAAAGAAGTCACCGAGTTCGCATACCTCACATCGCATCTCTCTTTTGTTGTACTTCGTCTCACCCTATCTCTCATTTGTGTCGTATTACATTTTCATTCCGCGTCTACTCAGCTGCATTATTTCTCGTGGTGAATGCATCAGTATTTTGCAACAGTGTAATTAAGTATTATGATTTTAAGGTGAACATTATGACATATGTTTTGGTTTATGATTTTATTGGCCCTAAAGAGGGCCGTTGGGTTTAGGTTTTTTGATGGCCCTAGAGAGGGCCGTTGGCTTTGTAAAATGTGCAAGGGAAAGGAAAATTAATTGGGCAATAAAGATAGCAATAATGGACAATAAGAACTGGGCAAAGAGGTGCACAGAGTGGCTGCCTAGAATCGAAAAAAGAAGTCGGGTCGACCTGAAATGAGATGGCAAGAAAATATATGCAAAATGCGGGCAAAAGATGGATGCGAAGGGCAATTAAATTTGGTAACAGTGATTACAACGATCTTGAAGAGTCTCGTATGCGAAACGCACATTGATTAGCTGATCGTGAGTAAATAAGCGTACAGAAATATAAAATAAATCGACAGACATCAATACTTGTAGTTTTTAGTAGTGTTCGTCGGGGAGCAATTTTTTGCACGGGGGGGGGTCCCCGCGGGGAGTAAATTGGACGGGGGGGGTCCCCGCGAAAAAGTCGGGGAGCAAATTGCGCGGGGGGGAGCGCTCCCCGCGTTCCCCGCCGGGGTCCCCGACGGGGACCCCGTTCCCCGACGAACACTAGTTTTTACCATGTATGCATATTCGTTTACTTACTTATTGTAAATAATTTGATTACAGGGAAGAATTCCATGAAGTTTTTGGTTTCAGTTCCAAACTTTTTCGGAACTGAGGATCATTCACATTTTTATATTCATCAGAGGCGATCGCTTCACAGTTTGTGAGGCGATTTTATTAGGTAATTGTAAGTAAATTGTTAGAAAGGTAAAACTTTATTCGATTGAAAACGTTGATATAAATATTGGCTCGTGGATAATATTGGTCATTTTATTCAATAGATGACAGATGATATGGTCGATGAATTTTGCACTGAAGCATTGTGATCGTAATCTGATATTATATGTGAATGTGTTCAGTGCTTATCATACGTACCCAGTCGCAGTACTGATTGCCTTGTTTCTCACTTATGAGTACAGCAACAATTTCAACTTTATTATTAGCAGAAGTGCCTCGTGACAAGATTATGATAGTTGTTTCAAAATCTCCTTCAGTTTATCGCTGTTAATGGGTCAAAGTAAGAATCATTCTCGAGCACATCCACCGCATAGCACAGCGGGAAGTCGACGAAAAACACATGGCAATTCTGAAAATTCCAGTGACTCGCAACCGAAAAAGGTCACTCTTTGCACTCTCACATTGCTAGACACGAATTCCATGATGTTAACGCTTGACAACGAAATGTAATCATGTCCGAATTCAGCAATTCCCTGCAGATGTAACGAAATCTTATGATTATAATGAAAGAAAATTTCTCCCCATCGCCTTAGAAATATTTTCCGAATTCTGCTCATTTCCGGTCAATCTCCTTCGTTTACGGCGTTTTTTATTCCATCAATCTGTTAGCCACTTTCGAAACTTTGAAGTCATTAGGCTCTTGTTTTTTTTCTGGCACTGTAGTTTCAAATTGAATCATTTTTGTGACCATTTCATGTTCAGAGTGGTCGAAAAGGAACAAAGAGGAAAATCCGGAAAAGTGGGTTCACGCACTTTGGAATGATGTACTCTAAATGGATGAGTTCACAAATTAAATGATCCAGCTTAGACGTTCAGCAATAAACACTCCAATAGCTCTTCGGATGTTTAATGAAGAGCCTAACTAACTTCGTAGATGAACAAACAGGCTGAAGTTTCTTCTCAATTGACACATGAAGACACCGTCATAATCTCAGTCGAAAAAAAAAATCGCTAAGAAAAGTCACTAAAGCAGAATTGATGAATATCAGCTGGTTATTCAGTTGCTGAATTCCAGAAAAACAAACGTTACGAGAAGAAATAGAAACTGCGAAAGAGAAGTCGACAATATCACGGCATATTCCACATGGTAAACCACAATCGAAACAAGATGAAAAGGTAGTCATGTTTTAGGGATTGTCGTTGCTCATTATTAATGCTACACAAGTCGATCATTATCTCACCGTTAATTACCTTGAAAATATGAATAATCACAACGGCACGTTTGCTACATACAGATGAATCGGATCCAAAACTGAATGATTTGAAATATGGAAATGATAGTTTTGATTCTAATTGTAAGTTACTTATCAGAAATTGGGGCAATCACGGATAAATATGAATTGATCATTTCAGGATCAGAAAAATGGCGACAGAAAAAAAACGCAACATAGAAAGTTGACTAAAAAGGATAGGCCAAAATTAACGGAAGGCACTGAAATTCGATGTAATGAGGGCATGTCAGTGATTTCCTTACTAAGTTCACCAGAAGAAACCGTGACCGCTCAATCTTCCCAAAGACATTTAGCCTAACGTCAGTTTGCCTAAAGACGCGTGGCCTACGGACAGTTTGCCTAAGGGACAGTTTTTGCCTAACTGACAATTTGCCGAACGGACTTTTTGCCTACGGTCATTTTGCCTAACGGACAGTTTCGCTAACTTATGGTATTTTAATGGATATTTCACCTAACAGGCGAACCGCTCCTTAGGCAAACTGTCCGTTAGGCAATGTGTCTTTAGGCAAACTGCCGTTAAGCTGAATGCCTTTAGGCAGATTGACCGGGCACCGAAAAACAATGCGACATTCCTTTTTCTACATTTGAAAAGCTTACTTGTTCGGATCAAACGATTCCACTCTGCGCAAGAATTGCTTTCAATCGTGCATCTTTCCAGATATATAATTCAACAGTTGTTAGGATCTGGTGGGTTTGGTGATGTCTATAAAGCGAAAAAAATAGGAACTACAGAGTTTTATGCGATCAAGACTGAGCTGAATGAATTCAATGGTAAAAAGATCGATCGATTGAAGGTTGTTCGACGAGAATTCTTTTGAAATAATACGATCAAATGTTTCTAAAAATCTCACACTTGCATCCTTAAAATGACGAAATGCTAAACGATAAAGCATCCAGCTCGCTAAAAATAAAGTTTCGAATTTCTGAAACAAGTTGCTCTGAAATTCAGAATTTGCAGAGCGTGAGCGACTGAATTGTTCACACTGCACATTGCTCATATTGAGTCTCTCAGTTGGGCTCAATCTACCCTTAACTTTCATGCACGCTAG